AGCCCTCAGGCACCTAACAGCAATTGTTCCTGAGTGAGGTAATAGCATAGCAGTACCTATTGGCCGAGACCAGCCAGTCCTGGGCCCTGACAAATGGTGGCAGCAGTGGGCTGTGACATACACGTGTGATTCAGCCGGGGTACTCACAGCCATAGTTTATTTTCACAGTTCATGGTCTCAAAGAGGAATGTCTTTAATCTGCCTTTGAGGTTTTCAGAGTGGCAGACCAAACAACCAGGTCATTGACAACAGCCCAAGAGTTTAAAAAATGTAGCCAGAGTGACACATCCATCATCAGATCTGTGTAGCTGCTTCTGGGGATGTCCACCGTGGCCCACTGGACACCACCAGGCCCAGGCATTTAGGAGAACTTCTGTGAATTGAGGTCCCAACTGAGCCTTGCTTGGCTCTGGTACAGTGGGAGATAGATGCAGGTTTCCCCCAAAGGGTTAGCTATCAATTTTTTCATGTAAAACAGATGTTACCAGGGCCAGGCTAGCTGCATTCTTAAATTTACCGTTTCCATTTTATAAGCAAGCCTTACATAGATCAGATATTCCATTTAGCTTTTATTTTTTAGAGACAAGGTCTCACTCTGTTGCCCAGGCTGGAATGCAATGGCATGATCACAGCTCACTGCAGCATTAAACTCCTGCACTCAAGTGATCCTCCTGCCTCAGCCTCCCAAGAAGCTGGGACTACAGGCATATGCCACCACACCCAGCTAATTAGGGTTTTTTTTGGTAGAGATGGGGTCTCGCTATATTGCCCAGGCTAGCCTCAAACTCCTGAGCTTGAGCAATACTCCTGCCTCAGCTTCCCAAAGTACTGGGGTTATAGGTGGGAGCCACTGCACTTTGTGGGTGCCTATAGGCCAAGCTACTACAGAGTTTGAGGTTGCTGCGAGCTAGGCTGAGGCTGACACACTCTAGCCTGGGAAAACAGAGTAAGACTCAGTCTCAAAAAAAATAAAAGACCAATGTCATTGTTACCTTTGAAGATCCCCTGAGTCTCCAGATGGCTTTCTGGCTGGGGTTAAGGGGTGGGTGGAAGGATGCTGTCCCTGAGCTAACTCAGACTAGACATGAGCCCTGGTAACTTTTTGAGAAGTCCAGCCTAATCCAAGACATTTGCTGCCCCGCTGTCAGAATAATGCTGCTTTTTGCCCATGTCTAACATAAGGACTAGGAAACTTTCCTGGGTGGTGGAGATAACTCCAAGAAATTACCTAGAACTCTTTGGGTCAGTTTCCCATCCTCCCAGTGGGCCACATTTATGAGCAGTGCAAACCCCATCTAAGGCAGTGAGAGTCCATACACCAGTCGCTGCCTCACCTACAGCCTTCTAATAGGAGCTTATCTTGGGGGACTCACCCTGAGAGAAGCAGCCAGAACTCACTGAAAAACAAAACAAAACTCTGAGAACTTCTACAATAGTCTCCTAATGGATTTGAAGCTGGAATGAGGGACAGCAGGACAGGCTGAGTCTAAGGACGGCCCAACTGTGCTGTTCCTCCTTTGCAAGCATGATGTACTTACCCCTCCCTGCCTGAGCAAGGCAGCCAGCACTCTGAGAAATCGTCTGCTTTCTTTCCTGGCAGTCGTGAATTTCCAACCTTTCCACACTATTCCTATTCAGTGTAGGTGTGTATGTCAATGACTGTTGACTGAAGTATCTTTATTTTATTTTATTTTATTTTTTTTTAGACAGAGCCTCAAGCTGTCACCCTGGGTAGAG